AAGCTTTCAGGTTAAGTGCATGCTAGTGACAGGGCCAGTTTCCAATTCCTTGCAGAGGCTGCGGTCTCGTGCCTTGCCTGGCACTTTGGCCTATCCTGCTTCTGCTCTGCCCAGATGTTCTCCTGCCTTCTGAGGCTGTGAGCAACCGAGTTCTGATTTGGGCAAGCACGTTGTGCAATTGGTGTAATTTGATTGGAATGTGAAGCATTTGATCATTTGCCTTTTTCCAGTATTAAAGTACTCTTTTAAGAAGTATCTATCTGCATTATTTTCAACCTTCCTGACAACTGTAGGGATGCTTTGTTTTCTTAGCTGTCTTGTGACAGTCACATCAAAAGATATTCCTCATCATCCTGCAGGGAAGTGATAGCTTTAATACAGCTTTTTTTTTACCCCTGGGCTGTTGATTTCCCTTTGCTTTTTTTCTGTAGTTGACTACAATAGATGGTTTTCTGATGAAACTTAAGAAAAACATCAAGTGTGCTAGTTTCCTGTCTCTGTGTGTCTGTCTTCTCATTTTGCCTTCCATGAACCACATTTAAGTATTCCCAGGCCTCCAAAGTGGCTGCCATTCATTCTGGCACTGACGTGGTTCCATTTGGTGCCACCATGTGCTGCAGCAATCGGAGCTTTCTGCTCTCAGTAGGTAGCAGGGGAACTTAATTGCTTCGTTCTGGGAATACCAGTCTAGTGGAAAGGTTTGTGCTGTATGTGTCTGGGTCAGTCAGAAACCACTGCTGGCTTGAGAGCTCTTGGCCTTGGGTTTGCAAGCTCTAAGGCATTTAGAATCCTTAAGTGATCCTGTTAATTTCAAAAGGGCTAAGTATCTGAAAATCATTTTAATGCTTTTATCTCTAGATGTGTGAGGAACTTAAGATGTTCATTGCCATTTCTTTACATTAAGCCCTCAGAGTTGCACTTATCTTTGGTAAATGAAACATCCAGTTTTCCTAGCGCAGTTCCTAGCAAAATGAGTTCTGAGATGCGAGGAAAGAAAAAGTATCTTTTAGTCTATATGGAGCTGACCTTTCTTTCCACAGTCATCTTCAGGATGTTAGCATGAGGACAGAATATCCTAAAGCAGGCAAGTTCATCTGTGTGCTGTTTGGAGAGAAACCAACATCCAGCCAGTCTGTACTATTTTGTATATTGCAAGACAACACTAAGGTTTGTCAGTAGAAGAAGTCTGCAGTGTTCTGTTTCATCTTTTGCTTTGTTTTGATTTGCTTGGCAGTAACATATTTAGCATCTTCCTTCGTAGCTAATGCTAGCAAAGCAGACATGGCTTTACTTCATTTTACTACTTTTTTTTTTTTCCCCAGCAGGGACTTAAGACCGTTGTTCTCATCTTGTTCAGTATGCTGTTCGTACCCAAGTCCTCTGCCTGGCTTTGCTGAAATTCTTGATTCTTGTGTTCTCTGTATCTCATCTTGTATCTTGTTTCATTGTAGCTCTTTTTGAAGAAAGTTGAAGGATGGAAGAATTCTTGGATATTGCTCGTTCAGTGTTGCGGCAAACTCTCTTTGTGACGCATCTGTCTTACCACCACTACTTTGAACCTGCTTTGGAGATTTTTATGCCTGTATTGCTGTAAAACTTCTAGTGAGCTCTCTTGCTGCTGTTGAATTTAGGATGAGTGGTGGCAGTTCCTGCGATGCCTGTTCTCAGCAGAGTGGCAAATAAACAGCAGCAGCCCTGTGTTCCATCCTTCCCTTTTGTTTTCTTCTTCTCTGCCTGTCTCTCAGTCTCAAGTAGCTTAACCTGTTTGCTGTTATTAACTTTATGATTTAAGAGCATCTCTGAACAAGCAACATCAACTTTTTGGATGTTAGTCTCCTTGACAATCAGACCCTTCCACCCCAGTTATCTTGAGGAAGGACGTGCTGGAATCAGATGCTAAATACAACAGAATGTATTTCTGTCCTATTTCTTCCCCACTCAGCTCAAAACCAGACGACACTGATGTTACTTCAAGTGTTTGTTTACAGCTCATCCACTGCCAAGGTGTTTGAAAAGAGTGAAGTTTTTAAGATAAATAATCATATAAAATGGTAGGAACGATTATGTTTAAGAGGTTTATAAATCAATAGTGTGATTTTGTAGATTAGAAAGAGTTATAATTTTGCAGTTCTGTCTGTCCAGTATCGTGGTCAACCCATAACCAGTGATACAATGGTAGTCTTGGTAGCAAGAGCTCATATGAACATAAATGGTGAAGGGTGTATGGGTGAATTTAGAAAGATATATTGTGAAATTCTATCCAAGCAGAACCTAGAAATTAACAGAGGTAGCCAAGGGAAAATAGAACAATGCTGGCGTCCACATAATGGCTGGGATATGTCCAGAGGACAAAAAGGTGAAAAGAACAAGCCGAGGAAGACTTCTTACTTCATCCGAGGAAGACTCCTTACTTCATCAGGACGACCACCAGAGGGGGGCTGCGCAAGCGCAGAAGAGGCTGATGTTACAATAGACTGACATGGCAATCCTTAATGCATATGTATTAGTGAATGATGCAATCTATATCGAATATGTATAAATTGCGAACGTGATGTGACGCAGATTTGGGCGCGTGCCCCTGGTTTCCCAGCGCTGCAATAAAGCACCTCATATAACCATTCCGGTGGTTATGTGTCAGTTCCTACGCTAACAATGGTGCTGGGGACCTTTTGGGTGAAAACCATCCCTGCTTTCTTTTTCATCCCTGTATCCCACAGCTGCAAGCAGTCAGCTTGGATGCTGGCTGGCGGTGGGAGCTGTTTCTAGGCCAGTTGTCCAAACAGACTAACAGAGCCTTTTCCCGAGTCTGGGATCCAACTTTGGACTCTGATTTTACACCCTCTCCAACATCTTCTTTTGGCATTGGAAGACCTGGGTGTTTGCAAAGGTCCGTTTGCAATCTGTGATTTGAAAGATGAGATCGCTTAATGAAACATACTGGAGTATAATGTGTTGAAGGTTAGATCCCGTGCTCCAGGAACCCTTTCTGGCTTACAATTCTGTCCTCCACAGATACTAATTGGCAGTGAAAGACTTCAACGTACTTGTCCTCCCTGAGCACCACTCCTTCTCCTGCCCCACTGCATGCAGCCTTCTGCTGTGTGTCATCTCTTACTGTATTTACTATCTGCAGTGCCCTGTTTTAACACGATGTCCCTCGCTTTTGGCAGTGCTTTATTTCGGTTGGCTGCAGTTGGCCTAGCTTACATGTTTGCTGTGTCATCAGTTAATATATTAATGCCCTGTTTAAATGTTAATACATTAAGCTATTTCTCTGGCTTTATAACTTATGGATATAAGGCAAGGACTGTCCTTCTCTGTTGTGTTTAATACAGCATTATTTGCAGTTGCAGTTTTAGTCCAGAGGTTCAGTAATCATTAATCTCTTAGCTAGATGCTACATTGCATGCTGACATCCCTTCCAACCTGGGTGATCCTATGGTAATAATTAGTGCCCCAGCCGTTCTGTCTTTCTGTGACCATGGAACTTTCTCTAGAATTACGAGTTGTGAATCTGAAGAAACCACCCAGCTGTGAATGGTGATACGGTATTACTTTTATGAGATTAGTGACAGTTGTAAAGGAGATGTAATTTATCCTGTTGGTCTCCAAAAAATCACAGGTTGCTGGGGACAGACATCTGTGCATCTAGTAATTTTTGCAGGATTAGAGTGGGCAAAATTCATACTCCCAAGTTCCAAATGCATTTGTGGGTACCAAAAATCACAACTCTCTACACCTAGCTGTCAAACCCAGTAACTCTTCCTTGACATCTTCAGTACAATTAAACATGTTCAATACAAAAATCTTTGCTGTATCAAAATTGGAACAAGTAGCATGAGCATGGAATGAGGTAGATTTAGTATAAAATAATGCAGGGATTGCATTCTTGATTGCAGGTATAGGTTTGGTGCTTAAATCATTAAAACATCACTTGTAGAGAGCTGAAAGTTTTACGTAAGTTGAACTTCCTGCAAAACAACCACAAAACTGCAAGTTTTAAATACTCAATCCAGGGTTCTTAGGACTATAAAATAGTTTGGTGCAGGTCATGCATTACCATGTCCAAGTTAACAAGCATGTCACCTATGAAGAAAAGTGGCTGTTGTACATCTTTGTGCCAAAACAGTGCTAGAGATGAGATGCTTCTCGTTTTCAGTAACAAAGACAGTGTATTCAGGTAAGTCACAGTACGTGTGCTTTCCCTTTAAGTCAGTGGTGTCATTTTTAGGGTGAAACAGATGACTTCAAAGGAAGAGCACCACCTTGTGACATAATGCTGCTGTGGTACTTAGGAAAGGAAAGGAGTAGATTTATTTGCATTTATCCTCTAACAGGATTTGTAGAGCTGGGTTTTCTCTTTCATTTGCCTTTTAAATCCTAAGAAGGGAACTGATTTTCTCCAAGGGATGCAAATTCAACCAAACAGCTTTATTTCATCAGTATGAAAAGCTCATTTTCCAATTTAATCTCAAATTTCACTTTTTTAATAGATTCACTTCAAGGAAAAATTGCTGTGAATTCTTAGCAGATTTTAAAAGTGTCGAATAAACTATCAGGCCTTTAAAACGTAAATGTGGTTTTCTTTGACGGACTTCTTACCCATTCTTCTTTCAGAAACTGTAAGGAAGGAGAGGTATTTTACAAGCTCTTCTCTTAGGAGCATGCAGGGACCCTCCTGTTTAGGCTCGTGCAGCTAAAGCAATGTATCGGTCAGTGGAGATAAATGTAACTACGTAGATACTCACTAACATGTTGATGAAACGTGTTGTCTCTGTAAACTGGCAGAGTTCATCCCAGGCTGACTTAACTCCAGAGCAGATAAGCCATGAAAGGCAAGGTGCAGATGACAAAACAGTCTGCAAAGACTGAGCTGATTACATACACCCTTGTTTCTGTCCACTTCTTTATCTTGCAGAAGAGCACCCAGAGGGCAAGGGCATTAAATAGAGCTGTAAAAAAAAAAAAATGCCATTATACAGAGCAAGTTCGAAGAGACAGACACGGCGATAAAGCTCTAGACTTGTGATACTGCAGTTGCTGGACACAGTCATTGTCATGCTGTGCAGAAGTTGTGTGATGCTCTGAGACCTGGAATAGGAAAAGGCATGGTAAGACTTTCCTCCTACCTCTTGATAGATGCATATCCCGTAGAAAATGAGGTGTTTAAGTAACTGTTTACTTTGCCCATCACAAATGTGAATTTGAGTCTACAAAGCTGGCTGCCTCAGTCAGCCTCTACCTGGGATGAGTCCTTTGTCAAGCTTTGTGTGTATTTACTCAGTTCAGGAGTAAATATCTCCAAGTACGCTTCCAATAGGAGACGGCAGACAGTCTATTAAATAGTGGCATCTTGAATGGAGGGGTGGAAGAGCAGTGAGAAGAACCCCTAGAGACAGTGAGGGCATTCTGTGACAATGGGATTCCTTAGGCCAGGCTGTGCAAGTGAGGTAAGATTACCCTTAGCTTGGTTATGAGCTAGGCAGGGATTGCAGCAACCAAACCTAAAGCCCAGCACAGCCCATGAGCAAAAGCTCTTCTAGCAGGTCTGCTGGCTTGGGAGACAGAGGAGCAGTGTGAAGGCCTGGAGGGGCATAGCAGATGTCTCTTGGTGGACATGCTCGTGCTCTGGCTCTAACTGGGCAGGTTTCTGAGCCTCTGGGCTGCCTTGCAAACCTGGAGCTCCTGCTCAAAGCTGAGGAAGAGAGATGAATCTGAGTTCCTGCATCCCAAAGGCGTGCTTGAAACCCTAAGTGAGTGAGTGAGGCATGTAGCTGTCCACTCCTTGTGAGGGCAGTGGGGAGGTGAAAGGATTAACCCGATTGTAAGCCCATGCATTCCAGGAGAGAGTTGGATTCTGTGGATGTAAAGCGGACAGACACACCTGAAAGAGAGAACACCAGTGCAAAACAAGGAACTTGCCATTAAGGGCTGCATGAGATGGCTCCTGCTCAAGGCAGGCATTCTGCCACCCTGCCAAGTCCATCAGATGTAAGTAAGTAGTAGCTACCGAGTCTGTGTCACACTGGCTTCAGTATGTTCTGCAAGCAAACCGGTTATGTGGAGAGTGTGAGTTCACGGGCTGATAAAAATCAGCTTTTATCAGGGCCCATCCTGTGCACGGTGGCTGTATATGTGGCCTGCAGAAGGAACAGTTCTCTGAACTGGTGATTCTGTGTATATGTCCCTGAATTTCTGCTTGCACCTAAATGCGCTTTGGAAGGAATTTAACCTCTGAATTTGAAGTACCTTTTTTTGCCTTTCCTACAGGAGACTGAAGTGGTGAAACCCTACAGCTTTCAGAGGTTTAGGAAGGAACACCATGACCGAACAGGCCTGATTAAGCAGTTATTTGCCTCTGCAAGCAACTCAGACCTCCCTGTGGTCAGCTGGTGAGAGCACTTGCTGCAAAATCAGACCTCAGTGACTGATAAACGCACAAATAAATAACTCAGTTGGTGGGGGATATGTAAGTGTCTTAGGCACTCACAGGCACTGACGCGACTCCTGCACAGAGCTGTCTCCAGTTCTTGTGTGCTCAGCTCTGGGTTTCCCAACAGAGGCTTGCTGCTCGCTGCCTGCACGCTGGAGGGAAGCTGTTGGCTGTCACCTGAGGAAAACCTCTCTGAACTATGGTAAGTAGCAGTAGGGAAATAGCTTACATCAAAGGCTGAAGCTGCCGCATTGTTATGCTCATTAACTGCATCAGGCAGATGTCTTTGCTGGCATGGCTGATGCCCAGACTGCTTTCATCAGCCCTGGTCTGCAGTGCCAGCAGCAGCCTCTGTGCTCGAGTACAAGGCAGGCAAACCGGGCTGGTGTGCTCTGCTGCATGAAAGGGCTGTGGCTGACACCACCCTTAGAGCTGGAGAAGTGCTCCAGGCAGATCAGAGACTGGTGGGAGGAGGGAGGAAATGAGCAGAGAGTTTTAAAGCAGGCCATGTAGCACAGATGGGGTATGGGTGAGCACAAAGTATCTTTAAAGAGATGCAGTCTGATAAGTTAGCATATCCTGTGGCTGCTGGAAATGCTTTACGGTGGGGTAGATAAGGTGGCAGCAGCATCAGAGGAGCTAGGCAGCAGCATGCAGCTGTGAGAAAAGGATGGAGATGGCTGTAAAACAGCCTCTTGCTGCTGCTGGAGGACCAGGAACAGTCTGGGGCTCAATGGACAAGGTCTGCAGTACTGTGGCTGGCATGTGTCCTGCTTTCCCCCCATCATAGACTGGGGAGAACTGGGCAGTAGCTGTCCCCCTCCATGGAAGGCCAGAGTGGGCTTGTTTCCTCCAGCAGCTCAGCAAGTATCAGGCTTCTTCCAGAAGCTTTAACAGAGCTTGGAGGAGGAGAAGCGAGGCAGAGGCTGAAGGGACTGTGGGTGCCACAGTAGCACCGTGGTGGCAAACATCCAGTGGCTTTCCCAGCAGGATGCCATGAAGAAGCAGATGCACCAGACCCCTTGCATGTAAAATCCTCTTCCTTCCTTCCTTCCTTCCTTCCTTCCTTCCTTCCTTCCTTCCTTCCTTCCTTCCTTCCTTCCTTGTGTGGGGAGCTCAGAAGTGAGCAGGTACCGGAGGGGTGAGGGGTGACTGTGGTGGCTGAAGTGATTAAGGACAGCGCAGGAGGTGTGGTGGGTGAGGGAAGGGACCTGAACTGAGCAGAGGGAGAAGAAGAAGGAAACAGGGTGGGAAGCATGGTGTACAGCATGGCGTTTTCTGCATCGGCTGCCTTCAAACCTGCCACATCTGTGGCAACAGCCCTGTTTTTTCCTCTCGAAGGGATGGGTAACTGTCAGCAAAGATGTAATATGTATGCTGCACAGGTATGAGGCTAGACTTGGGCAGGGCAGTACTTCCCAGGGGTGTTAATGCAACCATGGGCACTGCTGGGCAGGCCCTGGGCAGCGAGCTGACCTGGGAGGGAAGCACAGCCAGAAAGAGTGAGCGGACACACTGCCTCTGGGGCAGAAGAGCTCTAGGTGAGGGCCGCAACACTTAGGTGAGGGGCTGTTCCTCCCTGTTTCCAAACAGCATGAAGAAATGTGGCGACTGCCTGCTCTGACCTTGCTGCTGTTGTTCACAGCTCTCAAATACAATGACCTAAGGCACAGCGCTTTGTTCTTTTGTATTCTTTCAGGCTCATCTGTCACTGCATCCCTTGAAAGCAGCAATGTCATCACGCTAACCACGGAACTGCTTCAGAAGACCTTGGGAGCGGATGCAGGGGTTCATTTGGTCAAAAAAGGGACGTTTTTGAATTGCTTGTTTCCCATGTTAGAATGGATTTAGCTTCCGATTCCCAGCTCCTGTTAGGAAATAACATGCTGTGATCTTCCAGGTAAAGTGCCCAGAGAATACCCTGGAGAAAGAACAGAAACTGAAAGAGATGACGACCTACTGCATGGATGTCTGCATCGCAGGGGCTGCGCTGCCGCGCAGAAACCAAATACCTGGTGCTCCTCTGCCTCCCTGCAGCCCCAGCAGGAGCCTGAGCAGCAGTTCACGGAGAGCAAGAGAGAATGCACCCCAGGTGGTATTCCCTGTAGGTTTAGGGCCACAGAATCAGCAGCGGGTGTCAGCAGAGGCAGGACATGTGGGGCCTGTGCAGCCATGCATCCTGGCCAGGAGGAGCAGGGCCAGCCCGTGGGGCTGCAGGATGGGCACAGGCTACATGTACAGGGCTGGTGCCCAGCACCAACAGCTCGCTGGTGCTTAAGGGCTTCCCTGGCACCTCCTCCTCCTGCGTAGGAGATTTTACCCCCGTTTGGCCTTGAGTGTCGATCTGCTGGCTAAATAAACAGTGGCAGAACTTTCCACTGAGGTCTAGCCTCTCATCACTCATCACTTCCTCATCCAGTGTGTTTGGTGGCTAGCAGTGGTGCTCAGCAGCTGTGCTGAACCCTAAGGTAAGCAAGGTGGAAGATGTGATATCTGGTATTAGACACACCAGCCTATCAGCCTCATCAGTGTTGATGCTGTGGATTCACGTCAGTGGTTTCTTGAACTGAAGAAAAACCCAGTTCTTGCTCCTAGGTAAATACAAGAACCCTTCTGTTTCAGAGCAGCGCGCACTCATGTGGACATTGTGTGTGCCAGAACAAACCCTTTCAAGAGCTCCAGAAGTTTTTTTTAACCTCTTTCTTTCAGCTGCAAGACCAAAAAGAAAATAAAGGTTTCTGCTAATGGGAAGCAACAGAGGAGAGCGGAGGTATGTCTGGTAATTGTAGCACATGCTCCTCTGACCTTGCCAGGAGAGGAAATGCATTTACCCTCTGCTTTCCCCAATTGGTCTGTAATTGGCCTGTAGTTCTCCTCCCCATTTCTGCATTTTATAGAATCATGGAATGGTTCATGTTGAAAGGGACCTTAATGCTCATCCGGTTCCAACCCCTGCCAGGGGCAGGCAGGGACACGTCACACTAGAGCAGGTTGCTCCAAGCCCCTGTATCCAACCTGGCCTTGAACGCTGCCAGGGAAGGGGCAGCCACAGCTCCTCTGGGCACCCTGTGCCAGCGCCTCAGCACCCTCACAGGGAAGAGCATCTGCCTGAGAGCTTGTCTCAGTCCCCCCTCTGTCAGGTTACAGCCATCCCCTTTTGTCCTGTCCGTACAGGTCCTTGTCCAAAGCTCCTCTCCAGGTTTCTTGTAGCCCCTTTAGGCACTGGAGCTGCTCTAAGGTTTCCCCTTAGGGAGCCTTCTCTTCTCCAGGCTGAACAAGCCCAGCTGCCCTTAGCAGAGCTGCCCTTGCAGCATCACTGTGGTTTCCTCTGGCTCACTCGAGCAGCTCCACATCCCTCTTGAGTTGGGGCTCAAGATCTGGATGCAGGCCTTTGTTTCTTCTTACATTGGCATAAATGCAGAGTGACACTTTAACAGCTGGACAGATCTAGATCCTGCTATAGAAATACCTGGGGCCAGTAAATCAGAGCAAAAGCACATTCTCTGCTTGAACAAGGAAGAAATTACTTTGTTCAACTTGTTCACGTGCTTAATCCAAGAAGTTTTTTCCCTTCCAGTCAGTTACATTCATGTGATTGAAAACATTGTCACAGGAAATCTCAGATTGATTTGCTTTCCTGATTTGAGATCATTGCAATGGAGGGAGGGAGAACCAGGAGCTGTAGGTCAGCCCCATTCTTTTTCTGTAATGAGGGTGGTAAAGCACTGGCACAGGTTGCTCAGGGAGGTGGAGGATGCACCACCCTTGGAGACGTTCAAGGCCAGGCTGGATGTGGTTCTGAGCACCCTGATCTAGTTGAAGATGTCCCTGCTCATTGCAGGGGATGTTGGACTAGATGACCTTTAGAGGTTCCTCTCAACCAAAACCATTCCGTGATCCTGCGATGAGAACCCTAGGGAATGCAGGGGTTTCCCTACAGCTGCTGAGGGTCTCTTTAATACCCCAAAGCCACAATTACCCTTCTTTCTTACGCAAGGGCTTCTCATCCTCACGCTCTTTGGTGTGTCTGGTGGGATTGTGCCCTTGCTGAAGCTCGTCTTTGGTACCTAGAGCTAAAGTGCTTTGCTGACACGAGGTTAAATTCATCTGGGGGAATGTATTTTAATGCAGCCAGGGAGGGGAAACTGGCTTATTTGAAATACTGAGGTCTGTTCAGCATGTGGTTCACATTAAATGTTTGCTACCACAAGTAACAGTACCAATGCAAGTAACACCCAACTCTGGGCAAATTCACTTTTATTTCAACCTCTTTGAACTGGTCACATACCAGCATAGCAAGTATCACATCTTGAAAGCAAAGCTCCTCTGGTGCAGCTGAAGGACCCCTGATCCCAGCAGGAGGCTTGAGGCTGCTTTTCCATTTACCTACAAGAACAATGGCACTTGAACCGCAGCAGGATGTAGAGCTTTCGTGTGCATAACCCCAAATGCATCTACCTTTCCTAGCCTGCCAGGCGTGTGGCGTCAGTGCAGGTTTCTAGTTCACTAAAGGGTATTACCTGCTAAACATTTGACAGTGACAAGGCTTCATCTGTACCATAGCTGATGGGGGGGGCTTACAGACCAGAACACACACAGCGTGTTCCACAGATTGGCTTTCCCAGCAGCCCCGGGCACCACTCACTCGCAGGGACAGAGATGGGTATTTAGCCCCTGATGTCAAGAAGATGCCATAACAGAGCGGTGCCTGCAGGCAGACAGCACATTTCCAAGGGACCCCTCTTTGCTGCTGCCTTTGCCGCACCCTGGTGATCACAGAGCCCTGCAGGTGATGCACGCTGCCCAGCAGGCAGTGTGCTGATGAACCCAGCCGTACAGGGACAAGGTCCTTGGATGCTGCCATGAAGCATGGCAAAGTGGCATGGGAGGAAGAGGTAAGGCCACTGGGGATGCGAATGGAAAACTGTGCTTAAGGCACAGCCAGCAAGCGCTGTGGGAACGTGCCTCTGCCTTCCATGCACGCAGCAGCATCCCCTCCTGTTCGGTGCCTGCTGCCAGAGCCTGTCTGCTCTGTCGGTGGCATTAGTGTCGCAGCACAGGTAACATAGATGGGTGGCTATAACAGATCACTGCTCAGCCGCTTCCCTTAGAGAAAGGATTCCCTTTGTGCAGCTGCCTCTCATGGCTTGATGAAGCTCCATGACAGACAAGACTATGTATATTTAACGATTCTTGCTTTTAATGCAATTAAATAGTTGCCCTGAAAAAATAGAGATGTCATCAGGCCAAGAGCACTTGTCTTTTGTCCTCTCTAATACTCTCTTACAGTCTCTTCCCTTCCTTGTTCCTCTTGTACTCTTTCCTCTTCTCCTATAATCTCTTAGTCTTTTCCATTTCCATATAGTCTCTTCC